CTGCTTTCTCGCGTTCATACTCGATTATTTACCGTCATACATGCAGCTTGAATATCGCATTGTTGACCAACAAACAGAATTACAGTCTATTCATTTATTTGCAACACACATAAACAACACTCTATGTGATAAAATGTTCCTGGCTTCACGTGTACTTTCGTTCACTGTATTTTATTGCGCTTCACAAAACATAAACAACACTCTATGTGATAAAATGTTCCTGGCTTCACGTGTACTTTCGTTCACTGTATTTTATTGCGCTTCACAAAACATCCAATCACGATTTATCTCCCTTCGACCGCTCAGAAGCCAAATGAATGTGACAAGTCCTCACCACAGAAACGAGAGAGCTGTTGGTTCTGTGCTTCATAACGCGAAACATTAGGTGAAGTTACAAAAACAATCAGTACATTTAATGTATATATGTACAAGAGTAGTTTCAGGTGATTCTGTTGAACACTGAGGCTGACATTGTACTTAAATTCGTCCCTTGATTTGTACCCATGTTATACAAGGTGACTAAATTGGAGATCGGTTGGTCACAATGGCTGCTTAATACGGGCTTTTCACGTTGACTGGTTTGGCGGTGTGCAGCCACGATTAACCTGTCGAACTCAGCAACTGTCGCCCGGATCATTGTGGTCATTGAATGCCTATAAGTCTGGCTGTCATGTAAATATTACACAGATATATCGGATATCACGAATAGATCCATAAAACACTGGCATGATGATAATTCACAATAATTCATTTTGGGGTATCATTAAATGAATTATTGATATGAAATCAGGAATAAATAGTAAAACGGCGCTTGATATATACATCTGTAACAAAAGAGTGTCGAACAGAAGGAATAGCTCCATGTAACACTCGCATTGTGGTTACAAACATGAAAAACACATCATGCGGAGGATCTGGTATTCGATATAATGACATTTTATCGAATCGAAGTTTGTAATACATAAAATGGAAAACATGTTCAGATTAGATCTGAAGCGGTAGTGAATAACCGTGTCTTGCTATTGAGATTACAAAAATAATATGTACACTTACAGACCATGTATGATTAAATCTTCATTCATCACATTCAAATAGCAAAGCTCAGATGAGTGATTAAACATTAATATATAATGTGATTTTACTAAAACACAGTGAAATGTGCTTAAAGGTAAATACACAATGATACATATCCAAACCTAAATCCTCAACTCACACGTGACTACAGTTCATTGAAAGGAGGATTGCGACATGTTCATTCACTTACATGTAAATACCTTCACTCCATCTGGTGTACATACGTACATGCGGCCACGCCCACCAACACACACTCCACGTGGACTCTGGACACCATCCCGTGATGTCAGTATGTTTCTAACAAATTGTCCTGACTCAGTCAGATGGAGGACTCTGTGTAGTGTTTGGTCTGCTACCAGGATGTCGCCTGTGCTCGTGCTTGTGATACCAAGTGCATCCTTCAGTGCTGTGTCTCCTGTAGGGCTGTATGTGAACACCACATCTCCCTCGGGAGTCAGACACACGACACACGTGGATCCACTGTCACACACCAGGATGTTTCCTGTCCTCGTGGTACAAAGGAAGAAGGGATACTTCAAGATGTATCTACTAGGTTGGCCTGGACAAATTGACCTCAGCACGTGTCCCGCCATATCCAGGATATCAACACAGGGAGGGGAGTGGGAACTTGCTGCTAGTGTTGATGGTGTCAGAGACGTTATACCCCAGTACTGTTTGCTGGTTGTGATGGTTGACAGCAGCTCCAGGTCAGGGTTGACTTGTACTGTTACAATCTGTCTGGTACCCAGCATAGTGAAAGCCACCTGGTTGTCCTTCAACTTTGTTATACCATACGGATTACCACCCACACTGAGCCTGCTGTGACACGGCTGCTTGTTCCTGGTGTAGAAGGACTTCACACTGTTGTTGTAGATGTCTGTGACTACCACTGTGTCTGTACCATTCACCACTACCACTACCCCGTCACAGATGTCTTCTCTTAACATATCCCCTGCTACTCTGGTGTTAATGGTGTCCTGTACCACAAGAGTCGCCTTCAGGTCCAGCACACCCTCATACAGGACGTCTATCTCACCCAGCTGTAGATCGTCCAGTGCTCTACTCAGCTTGTCCGTGTCCTGTCTGAACATGATCCTGGCTATTCTTCCCTTCTCCTTCACGTCTGCGACTCCGACAGCCTCCACATCAACGGCCTCACATCCCTGGTACATCTCATACACACCCATGTCACACTCAGATTGTAGAGTCTGGTCTATCAGCTCTGCCTGTTGTTGGTACACCTGTACTGACATCTCACCTGACTTTATGTCTGCTTTCAGTTCTCCAATGTGTTTGTCAGACATTTCTTTCAGTTCAGCCAAAAGTGTCCGTTCCTTGACTTTGATCACCTCAATTGTTTTGACACTTGCAGATTTGATATTCGATTCTATTTGTAAGTAAAGCGTTAATGCTTCATTGACTTTGGAGGTTTGTTTACCAATATGTGTTTTCATCTCGTCTTGTTTGTTCAACAATACCTCTTTATTCCTTCTCAGCTCAGTTTTCATGGAAGGAATCTCCGACTCAATTTCAACAACCAAGTCACATTTCCTGTGATGGATAGTGCAGCATTTTTGACAAACTGCTGTTTTACAATCTTTACAAATATATTTGATATTTTCATCTTTGTGAAGTTTACACATGACCTTTCTCTTGACGCGAACCTTTGTCTCTCCAGACAGGTCAACTACGTCATGGTGACGGAAAGATGGAATTCGTCTGTGTACTCGAATACATCGTTCACAGAGTGCGTCGTCACAAACAGAGCACCAAGATGTAGCTGGAGTTGTCTCCCCTTCCTCCTTACAATAACTACAGTGAGTCGTATCTGAAATAGGAATGTAATCATGAAGAGATATTAACAGTTCTACATCACAATCTATTACAGAACTTCATGTGGCATATCATGTACATCACTCACTTGGGTGAGACAACATGCATCAATAACATCCCAATACCACGTAATGTGAAAAATTATGTAAATAACATTGGATTTGTCTCACTGATAGAAATCGCCATATAGATATAGATTTCAGAGAAAAATGGCAATTGTGTCTGAGATAGACCTTAGACCATCTCCCTTTCGAATCATGTCCGGATAATCGTTGTTACTTGTTAAAACAGTGTACACGAACACAACTTAATAAATGACTTTCGATAAATTTTGAAACCTTACAAAATATCTTCTCACTCAACACACATTCCTATTATCCAATCAGGTGTGGAGTTACCTGCTTCGAAATAACATTTATATTCATACAAACCACAAACGCTCACCTTTAGATCCGGGGCCAAACGAGTCCAAAAGTCCCTGGATGACAAAGCTAGGCTTGACGTCATCCGCCCACTCCTCCACTGGTCTCTCAGGGGCAGACACTTTCGTCATCTTCCTGCAGAATGGACACAGGAGAGACTTGGCACTAATGGCTTCTGGTCTGGTTTTGGTGTAGTTGACGACACATTTACGACAGAAGGTGTGATTACATACAAGTGTACAGGGCTTGTCAAACACCTCTGTACATATCGTGCATGTCAGGAAGTGTTCTGTTAGCTTCTGGGAGGTCGCCATCTTACCTAGAAAAAGACAAACCAGTCGTGTATTGCTTGTGTAGAAAACATACACAACCTGAGCTTAACACTCTTAAACACTAAGGCCGACTTCAGTTGTGATAATTTACTCTCCCGATCAAAAGTTCAAAAAAAACGATTGTGTATTCCCCAAACTGGAATCATCCAGATCTTGAAAGCATAAACCTATATATAAATAAAAACATCATCACAGATGTGTGCAGATTCTATCAAGTTAACACTTTAAGACGAGTCTCACTTTGACTTACCGTACCTGTGTATGTGGTTTGTTTTTGTTGTTTGTGTGTGTGTGTGTGTGTGTGTGTGTGTGTGTGTGTGTGTGTGTGTGTGTGTGTGTGTGTGTGTGTGTGTGTGTGTGTGTGTGTGTGTGTGTGCGCGTGCGTGTGCGTGCGCGTGTGTGTTTCTCATCTATATAGTATGTCGTCAGTTCATCAGGACATGTACTTCTTGACATTCATAACCAGTTTTGAACACATGAGGTGGTACCTAAGTAGTTTTGTTTGGTTGTATGGTTGGTTTTAGTCCGCTTGCTGAAGTTGGTTAATTAGTAAAATATTGATGGCCTGGCAGTACGCGTTTGTTATGCAATGTATGTCATGGTGACACCGAGAACCTAGAAACAGTGGCCTCACAATGGCAGCTCGTGGGTGGTGCTTGTCAAATCAGTGACAGGCTGGCTTTACAACATGAAGTGCGTGCACTTGTGAACCGTGTGCAGTGTATCGATCACGTGACATAGTTATGAGGTGACACCCACTCAATACCATATCGAAAGTACAGTTCATATACTACCATATCAGATGTGAAATAATACAGTTATGTCGAAGTATTTTCCCATATTAGTTACTTAAGCATTTGTCAGGGATCATGTCAGTCACAACTGTAACAGACACACGTGATATATACATACAGTAACACATACTTCGGGATCGGTCTCAGTATTGAAGTCAAGTGGCCGATCAGAGTATTTAATGACAGTGGATCTTTGAAATATTCTGGTTAGCCTACATGTTACATTTAATTAGGTGCCCGGTCATGCGAATCTGCCTGGAGATGACCGTATAGTTAGATGACCCATTGTGGTATTACCAGTACACAGTAGGACAGGTGTGTAGCGTTATATCTGAAGTAGACGCAAGCCTTGTGACAACACACTTACCTGAGACAAGCAGGTTACCGGTGTCGAGGGAAATTGATCAACCGGTGAGATCTATCCTAGAGGGGTGTGGGCGTGATAAGTTCGTTAGATGAACCCTTGTGGTGTTACCAGTACACAGTAGGACAGGTGTGTAGCGTTATAACTGAAGTAGTCGCAAGCCTTGTGACAAACCACTTACCTGAGACAAGCAGGTTACCGATGTCGAGGGAAATTGATCAACCGGTGAGATCTATCCTAGAGGGGTGTGGGCGTGATTCGTTCGTTACCAACTCGTGTCATTGTGGGACAAGCTGCTTGCAGGTCACAGAAAAAGGGGCGAGTGGAAACAAACTGACAGACTTACATGAGACAGCTGTAATATTGATGACTGGAAAACTACACTTATTTACTCGAGAATAAGTTACGATACTCTTTTCTTGCTGGTTTCCTACACCTGTATAACAAGATTATTTACCAACATTCAGTGGCTAATATCTCTGTAAGCTGCTCGCAAACTAATTCTTTCAAGCTCACTTGGTGGGTGCAATTGTACAATAAGCACAAAGTCGTAAATGCTGTATGTTTCTGTATCAAGCATCAAGCATCGATAGCACAACAGTGAATACATCTTCGTGTTATCACACACAAACGTATATGTACATTGGATTAATTAATGAGCAACATATATCGACAGCACGAACAGTGATATCCATTTTTTCACATACAACATTCATCACTTGAAGCATGTATTTTACACCGCTTCACAAAACATCGCATCACGATTTATTACCATCGAACCGCTTCGTGTTCCAGAGTGAATGTGGCAATTCCTCCCAACAACAAGAGAGCTAATGGTTCTGTGCTTCACAACACGCCACAGTTTAGTAAATTTAGCAAAACAATTACTGTAATTAATGCTTAGCTGGGACCAACTGACCACCAATTTAGGCACCTTCTATGACGTACAGAAATCAGGCGACGAATTTAAGTAACATTCTAGACTGGTTTGGCTGTTTTCGTGTTCCACGTCATATGATCCGCCTATCTAACTCTGACTTGACTCTCCTGGGCCTGATTCCTCTGCAGGACACGTGGCAGAACAGTGGAACTTCCTTCTGCATCAGTGTCGTCGGAACAACGTCTTTGAAGCTGAAACAAAACAATGTTGCTCATTTGTGTTTTCCAGCGTGACGAGCAAGGATTAGTGTCTCGTAAAACACATCTTACACATACATATCTCACAACATCACCAGGATACAGAGTAGAAATAGCTCCATAACAAACTCTGCTCCTCCCCCTCATATCCTGTAACATTACAATGATGACCTCTGGGGAAGACTCAGATGCGTCATTTGACCTGTCCCCGGACAATAGGTGGTGCTGCTCTGCTCCTCCCCCTCATATCCTGTAACAGTACAATGATGACCTCTGGGGAAGACTCAGATGCGTCATTTGACCAGTTCCCGGACAATAGGTGATACTGCTCTGCTCCTCCCCCTCATATCCTGTAACAGTACAATGATGACATCTGGGGAAGACTCAGGTGCGTCATTTGACCAGTCCCCGGACAATAGGTGATACTGCTCTGCTCCTCTCCCTCATATCCTGTAACAGTACAATGATGACCCCTGGGGAAGGCTCAGATGCGTCATTTGACCAGTCCCCGGACAATAGGTGGTACTGCTCTGCTCCTCCCCCTCATACCCTGTAACAGTACAATGATGACCCCTGGGGAAGGCTCAGATGCGAAATTTGACCAGTCCCCGGACAATAGGTGGTACTGCTCTGCTCCACCCCCTCATTTCCTGTAACAGTACAATGTTGACCTCTGGGGAAGACTCAAGTGCGTCATTTGACCAGTCCCCGGACAATAGGTGGTGCTGCTCTGCTCCTCCCCCTCATACCCTGTAACAGTACAATGATGACATCTGGGGAAGACTCAAGTGCGTCATTTGACCAGTCCCCGGGAAATAGGTGGTACTGCTCTGCTCCACCCCCTCATTTCCTGTAACAGTACAATGTTGACCTCTGGGGAAGACTCAAGTGCGTCATTTGACCAGTCCCCGGACAATAGGTGGTGCTGCTCTGCTCCTCCCCCTCATACCCTGTAACAGTACAATGATGACATCTGGGGAAGACTCAAGTGCGTCATTTGACCAGTCCCCGGACAATAGGTGGTACTGCTCTGCTCCACCCCCTCATTTCCTGTAACAGTACAATGTTGACCTCTGGGGAAGACTCAAGTGCGTCATTTGACCAGTCCCCGGACAATAGGTGGTGCTGCTCTGTTCCTCCCCCTACCCTGTAACAGTACAATGATGACATCTGGGGAAGACTCAAGTGCGTCATTTGACCAGTCCCCGGACAATAGGTGGTGCTGCTCTGCTCCTCCCCCTCATACCCTATAACAGTACAATGATGACATCTGGGGAAGACTCAAGTGCGTCTTTTGACCAGTCCCCGGACAATAGGTGGTACTGCTCTGCTCCACCCCCTCATTTCCTGTAACAGTACAATGTTGACCTCTGGGGAAGACTCAAGTGCGTCATTTGACCAGTCCCCGGGCAATAGGTGGTGCTGCTCTGCTCCTCCCCCTACCCTGTAACAGTACAATGATGACATCTGGGGAAGACTCAAGTGCGTCATTTGACCAGTCCCCGGACAATAGGTGGTGCTGCTCTGCTCCTCCCCCTCATACCCTGTAACAGTACAATGATGACATCTGGGGAAGACTCAGATGCGTCATTTGACCAGTCCCCGGACAATAGGTGGTACTGCTCTGCTCCTCCCCCTCATATCCTGTAACAGTACAATGATGACCCCTGGGGAAGGCTCAGATGCGACATTTGACCAGTCCCCGGACAATAGGTGGTACTGCTCTGCTCCACCCCCTCATTTCCTGTAACAGTACAATGTTGACCTCTGGGGAAGACTCAAGTGCGTCATTTGACCAGTCCCCGGACAATAGGTGGTGCTGCTCTGCTCCTCCCCCTCATACCCTGTAACAGTACAATGATGACATCTGGGGAAGACTCAAGTGCGTCATTTGACCAGTCCCCGGGAAATAGGTGGTACTGTTCTGCTCCACCCCCTCATTTCCTGTAACAGTACAATGTTGACCTCTGGGGAAGACTCAAGTGCGTCATTTGACCAGTCCCCGGACAATAGGTGGTGCTGCTCTGCTCCTCCCCCTCATACCCTGTAACAGTACAATGATGACATCTGGGGAAGACTCAAGTGCGTCATTTGACCAGTCCCCGGACAATAGGTGGTACTGCTCTGCTCCACCCCCTCATTTCCTGTAACAGTACAATGTTGACCTCTGGGGAAGACTCAAGTGCGTCATTTGACCAGTCCCCGGACAATAGGTGGTGCTGCTCTGTTCCTCCCCCTACCCTGTAACAGTACAATGATGACATCTGGGGAAGACTCAAGTGCGTCATTTGACCAGTCCCCGGACAATAGGTGGTGCTGCTCTGCTCCTCCCCCTCATACCCTATAACAGTACAATGATGACATCTGGGGAAGACTCAAGTGCGTCATTTGACCAGTCCCCGGACAATAGGTGGTACTGCTCTGCTCCACCCCCTCATTTCCTGTAACAGTACAATGTTGACCTCTGGGGAAGACTCAAGTGCGTCATTTGACCAGTCCCCGGACAATAGGTGGTGCTGCTCTGCTCCTCCCCCTCATACCCTGTAACAGTACAATGATGACATCTGGGGAAGACTCAGATGCGTCATTTGACCAGTCCCCGGACAATAGGTGATACTGCTCTGCTCCTCCCCCTCATATCCTGTAACAGTACAATGATGACCCCTGGGGAAGGCTCAGATGCGTCATTTGACCAGTCCCCGGGCAATAGGTGGTGCTGCTCTGCTCCTCCCCCTACCCTGTAACAGTACAATGATGACATCTGGGGAAGACTCAAGTGCGTCATTTGACCAGTCCCCGGACAATAGGTGGTGCTGCTCTGCTCCTCCCCCTCATACCCTGTAACAGTACAATGATGACATCTGGGGAAGACTCAGATGCGTCATTTGACCAGTCCCCGGACAATAGGTGATACTGCTCTGCTCCTCCCCCTCATATCCTGTAACAGTACAATGATGACCCCTGGGGAAGGCTCAGATGCGTCATTTGACCAGTCCCCGGACAATAGGTGGTACTGCTCTGCTCCTCCCCCTCATACCCTGTAACAGTACAATGATGACCTCTGGGGAAGGCTCAGATGCGTCATTTGACCAGTCCCCGGACAATAGGTGGTACTGCTCTGCTCCTCCCCCTCATACCCTGTAACAGTACAATGATGACCCCTGGGGAAGGCTCAGATGCGTCATTTGACCAGTCCCCGGACAATAGGTGGTGCTGCTCTGCTCCTCCCCCTCATACCCTGTAACAGTACAATGATGACATCTGGGGAAGACTCAAGTGCGTCATTTGACCAGTCCCCGAGCAATAGGTGGTACTGCTCTGCTCTGACTGTGGCATAAAAATAACAAACAACTAGTATACGTGGCTTAAGTTAATCATTTACCATTATCATTTTATCTTTTTAAGGGTACACATTTTGTAGAAGCTTTATCAGCTCAAAGTAATGATTGTGTCCATGAATCACAGTGATTAGGGATAAGAAAACAGCTGCACTATTTGTGAAGCCTAAAATGTTTCAGAAAAAGATATAACAAATATTGTTGTCATACCAGAGAAGGTATGATAGACTTTGATTGATGTATCATACCTTATCTGCACTTATCCCAGGTCTGATGTATCCTGGGTATTAACATAGCCCACTCCAGCAAGTCCACCTTAGGAATCCTGAGTATATTTGATGACATTTTATAGGCCATGTGCATATTTCATAAACGCTGATCTGACGTCAACGGGCATACCAGTACTGTACCTACAATATGTGACGTAGTATTAACGTGTGTCTTCAGACTCAAATTTCCTACCAAAGACATTTTTATAAATCCGCTCTCTTCTTCCCAGCTGGTACACAATTAAATATTCTTGAAGTCACGTTGACAGCGGCATGGGTGACTAATGCCTGTTAGTGTCGGATGGACATAGCAATGTCCCACAACGTGTGTACATGACAAACACATGGCCTACTGATTACTTTGATACGTCAAATCTACCAGGAGTTTTCCTTTTGTACCCAGGTTTCCTGTTTCTTGCTTTGTGTATTAGAATATTCAATGTGTTAGTATCAATATATGCGATATCTATTGATTATTTGCGTATGCCACTTAGTACTGATAACACCCGTGAAGATCGGGGAAGAATACTATAGGTCTTCAGCTACCCCTCCAGCTGTAAATGGCGACAATGCTTATCGTAGGAGGCGACTAACGGGATCGTGTGGTCAGGCTCGCTGATTTGGTTGATGCATGTCATCTATCCCAATTGCCGTCATATAGC